GAAGATTTTTACCATGCACTTCAGTAAAATTGATCAAACTTATTTTAAACTTTATTGTAGTTCTATTAATGAATGAGAGGGATTTATGTTAAAATTCTTCAAAATACAATGTTGTCCCACGACTGTCATATTTTCAGGGTAAATTCTAAGAAAAAATTCTCTCCGTGTATAAAGCAATAAATTTATGTCCTTGCGAATGTACGTTATAGCAAATTTATTTTATGAGGTACCGTTTACGAGACCACGTGTAGCGTACTCCGTGAGTATCGATCGACTGACGAGACGCACAAGTATCCTATTATTAACTATTACTGGTTGCTCGCTGGCGCAGGCGCTACTTTCTATCAATTGCATGTACATTTAAGTCGATTCAGTAGCATTCACGCGTTCCGTGAGCAATCATGAATGTCAATGACTCTGTCATGTCAGAACGGGACGCGAGTGATTACAGTATTCAATTGAATCGTTGGCTTCTAAAACTGGTGGGCGCTTGGCCAAGTTCAGCCTCGACAACAGTTAGAGAAAAAGTAATTTCAACAATACTGGTAATCATCTGCTACTCGTTAGTAGCCTACACGGTCATACCTTGTATTCTGAACATTCTGTTCGAAGAGACCGATGTGCAGAAAAAATTAAGAGCTGTTGGTCCATTAAGTCACTGGTGCATGGGTGGCATGAATTACTTCTCACTGCTGTTTCGCAGCCGCGATATATACCGTTGCGTGGAGCACGTGAGGACCGATTGGCTTATGATGACAGACATAGAAGACCGGCAAGTGATGCTGAAGTATGCCAAAGTCGGCCGTTTCGTCGCCGGGCTATGCGCAATTTTCATGCATGTTGGCGTTTTCTCGCACACCGTATTGCAAGGTGCCACGCCGAAGTTCGAACGTATCGGAAACGTGAGCGTGAAGGTGCGTGTGTTACTATGTCCCACGTACAGTAAGTTCGTAGATATTACGAAGAGCCCGGCGGGCGAAATCGCATTAACTATGCAGCTCCTCTC